TTGTAAAACAGTCACTGAGAAAAGTGACATTGTAATACTAAAACAGATTTTGGAAAAGGATATTGTGAAAAACTTAATCGCAATTAACTCTGTCTGAAATTATTTAAAAACGATGTGTTATTTAAATGTAATGGGTTACTTCACAACTGTACGGCTTTATTACATTTTGTATCTGTATTTACTAATGTGATTGTTTACTCCATAATGTCTTGTTTATTTATTAGATGGTTAACACTTTGGGTCTCCATAACCAACCGGTAATATTTGATTAGGGTTGTCTGAAGTGATGAATAATGCAGCACTGCGTAAAAAATGAATGTTTTCCTCCAGTAATTACAGTCTGTAAACTAGTCAAAAAGACTCCATGTAGAAATGCTAATTCCTTTCATATGACAAGCTTCACGCATCTTCGATTTGTATTTCTGATTAACAAAGTCCCTGCAGCGGTGCACCCTTTGTAACACATCCATACCGAACATCCATATCACCTTAATATCTCCATCAAAGAACTGAATAAGCACTTACCACTGTGGTAGATCATAGGTACATATCTCTGTGTTGCTGATGAGAACATTCACTCTGTACTTTACGTTGTCCTCTGGTGCTCTCCCATAGCAACACATACCGTATCCTTGGTGAACATTTTCAGTGACTTCATTCTCAGTGGTCATTCAAACTACACACACCAAAGCACTGGGACTCCCGGTGATCACCACACAGTGCAAACAGGGTGTGTGTGAGGCTCTACGCCAGGGGTGTCCAAACTACGGCCCGGGGGCCAAATGCGGCCCGCGGACCATTTTGAATCGGCCTTCAGCTAATTAAAAAAGTATAATGGGATATGGCCCACAAATGAAACTTGTGCTTTTCTTATATTGTACTTCTTAAATATAAATGTAAAAATATATTACACAGTAGTATTCATGTTGCACACATAAGACCACCTTTCAAATAAATTCAGTCAATTAAAGTTGGAAACATTTTCTAACATGTCTTAGTTGATAAGCCCAATGACTTATTTACATAACAAGCTTGAAATACACCCTTCCTATTTCTCCTTATTATCATCAACCTGAGCTTCTGTTTGAAGGGATGAGCTGCTAACACTCACACGCATCATTGACCTACATTTGATTGATTTTGCTGACTTATAAATGAACTTATGTAGTGAGTGGCCCTCGGTGAAAAAAGTTTGGACACCCCTGCTCTACGCCAGAACCAGAGACTGGAGCGGTTTCTCTGAGGCTCCAGAGGTCAGCTGACACAAGGTCAAAGGTTATATAGGCAGGCAGGGCTGGTTCCTGTAGCCCCGACCTCAGGTGACTCTCCAGCAGGCTCAACACAACTAACATGTAGACCTCTCACTCAGTGTTTGTGGACATACTGATCTGGGATCGGCTCACTCAGTCTGTTGCCGTTAATTGACTGAAGAAGGGAAAGTGTCCCCTGACCCGTGCACTACACATCTACGGAGAGTTTTGAAAACCAGTGAGTATTTTTTTCTAATCAATGTTAGGAATGTAGAATTCAAGGCTGGAGGTATTGTATCTACCGTCTGGTCTATTTGTGTGGATATTTTGTGATAAAAGAATGATATTGTAAAATGTAATTATACTAATCTGAGAATTGTGTTATCTGTACAGTCTTGAAACACTTCGATTGAATGAGCCTGATTTGCTGTATTGTTAATTTTGAATCAGGATTGATGCTGCAAAGATGGATGTTAACTCAATTTGGCTGCAGAGCTCTTATTTTATATTTCAAAACTGTCTTAACAAACTGAAAATATTTTTTTATAGATTTGTTGATACTAGCACATTAGTACTTGTGGTTCAGTGATTTCACAGATTAACACATGTGGCAGTTTCTCTGATGTGCAGGCCATACAGATGTACAAAATGCACTGGACAGACTGAAGACATTAATATGGTGAAGGAGATCCAACAATATGGTCTGTTCAAAATGTGACATTTCCCATTAGTTATTGATTTGATAATGAATGATGATTGATTGCTTTTTTGCACGGATGATGCTTCTTCTACTCATTTACATAAAAGGTTGTATTGCACTTTTGTTTTATGGACGAGCGCAGTTTGATCAATCCCTAAATCTCTGGTTCAGAAAGACATGCTTAGAGAATAATTCAACATTTTGGAAAAACACTTGCTCATTTGTTGTTGAAAGATAGATGAGAAGATTGATGCTACATGAGAAGGGTCAAACTTTGTATCTAACTTTTGGCAAAACAAAAAAAAATTCTCTAACTTCAATAAATACAGGTTTGGTTCTCTATTCTTTATATGTACACAGACTCAAACACCTAGTGTGTACATAGACACAAGCTATGTATAGAGGCTGTGTACTCAAAACAATATCAAGGGTGTCACATGTAAAGATGAACACAATTGGAGCAAGATGTTTTATTTTTTTGCTCGCTTGATAATTGTACAGTCAATTCTGTATCATCACACATGACATCACTGCTGGATGGCGGTGAAGAAAATGTAAAAATGAAGAGTTATTCTGTGATTTCCTCTCTCAGCGATCGCTTTGAAGACTTTACTAGAGAGTTACTTAAATATATTGTGTTTAGAGGATTTTATAATTGAGAATAAGTTATATTTTGAATGATAACAGAGAGCTCGTCTTAGGTTTTAATCAGTGCATTTCCAAATGACGTGACCTCAGCGTTTGATGGCGACTTGCCTACTGTAGTTGCCCTGGTTATATCATAGTGATAACGCAGTGATGAGAAGGTGTGGTCTGCCTCATGTAGAAAGGAAATAAATAACCAAAGTGTATTTGGAGCGTGAACTGTAGACTAAAAAAACCTCTTCATCTTCCTTCCCTTTCTGGGAGGTTTCTAATGTGTCGGACTGTTACCCCGGCACTTTTCAACACGGAGATCGAGCGAGAACTAGTATTTGGATTTTTTCCTGTTTGACGAATGATACCGGTGCCACGTTGTTCGACGAGGACGAACTATAGTCGAACACAGACAATATTAAAACCGCCGCACCCCCCCTTACTCGTAGCTAGTTGTCAAGTAAATTTTAGTAGCAAAAATGATTAGACACGACCGTCGCGTTACGGTGTACCCTGCATTAGACGAGGACGATTCATCGCGAGGAGGCACGACACATGGAGTTGTGACCCAGGCGCAGGTCGACATCATACGGATTTCGTCGACCGCACCCTTATCATAAGTCTATCGAAAATGTTAAAAAAAAAAACAAAAAATCATTTTCATTATTATGGTGTGACAGTAACAAGTTCATTTTATTTGACGTACGCTCTTATGCATTGCATTTCAATAAAGTTCATTTACATGAATTTCATAACCCACATATTGTTATACCTGAGTGGCACTGAGTAACGTCTTAACAAAAAAAAATTTTATATAACTTTACAAAAAAAATTTAATTCGTTTTTTCGTCGTTTAAGTGTAAAATTCTTCTACCTTAACACTTTTTTTGGTGAATAGTTTTACCGACGGTAATTAAAATGACAACTCGGGTGAGTACCGAAATCAATTATGATTTATGTTAAAAACCCCACATCCAACTTACTTAATTGTTTAATATATTAAATTATTCACATTGAGCATTACATTAATTCATCTCTTGAACTTATGCATTGTCATAACTCTTGAACTCAGTATTCATATGAATGGTGAACGAAACGGCAGTGACCATCATTAAGTTACCGACGTAACTAAACCTCAATACTTGCTATTTGGCTTTTTAGCTCTGAAACAAATATCTTTCTATTGAAGTAAATTTTACATTCTTCGTGACTTTAGTTAACCTGTCAGTACACTAATGAACTTTTTACTGTTTACGTCTGTTAGGACTGCCTTATTACAGCAAAATTTCGGTAGGGGTAGAACATCGGGCGAGTCGTAATTCTTTTATTTTCGTCCGCCTATAGGTCCAAAAGTTGTTATTGGTGAAATAATAGAAAACAGTAATAACACAGACAGGTAAATTTCCATGTTACAATTGCTTCATGTTTAGTTCCCTCTTTTATTGTGTTATTTTTTTTCTTACTTTTTGGAGTCAACTAAGACCGTCAAATGTGGTCTTATGTGGTGCACATAAACCCACTCTTTTCTTGTTCAACAGTTCCGTCCACTTTAGTGGGAAACTGGAGGATCTTGGTCCTTCGACAACACACCGCAGAGTATTTGAAGACAGGATAATTGTATTGGCAGAGTGTCTCGACTCAGCGGTAGTTCTCGTCCCAAGACCAAATCTGTTCCGTCTGTATAAAGGGGGTAGTAATGAATAAAGACGGGAACTTTTGACTCGTCGTAGCTTACTCTCTTTTTTCACACGACGTACACCCCGTGGGTTAGGCTGAGTAATGCGTATGTTGTGTCATACTTTTGTGTTGATTCCTTATTACGTGGGGTACTCTTTCTTTTCTTTTTTCGTACTTGTTTATTTCGATCCTTTAGAGTGGGTACAAACCTATATCTACTCTTGGTAT